CACACACAAAGACGACACACACACACACACAGATCCACAGCAGCACAACCGACCCTTTGAACGGCCCTTGTCGTCCTTGACAATCTTTGTCTCTGCCAGCTTGCCAAAGCGGCTAAAAATGCGTTGCAGGTCATCCTATGCACGTGTGTGTGTATGTGTGTGTGTGGTGTCTTCCGTGAGCGTTTCCAGAGCAGACAAGCACAATGTCAAGCGCGTCGCGCTGCACACATACACACGCACATACACACGCACACGCACACGCGCGAACATAATCACACATACACCACCCATGCACACGCACACACGCACACGCACACACGCACACATACACACGCACACATACACACGCACACGCACACCACACACCACCACCGCAACGGTTAAGGCACCTCTGTTGTTGAAAAGTCGAGGTTGCGGACAATGAGGCGTGCGTCCTTCTTCGTCGCTTCGGGAATCTCCGCCTTCTGCTTGGACTTGAGGCGAACAGAGATGGTGCTGCCGTGCAGCTCGTGCTGGTCCAGACGCAGAACAATGTTGCGCATGAACTTGGTGGTCGCGTCAGTCGTGTTGGTGAATGTCACGTGCGCGGTGGTTTTGTCCACCATGGTGATCCCCTTGACTGTTCCATACTTGCGCATCTTCTGGAACAGCTTCTTCTTGTTTGTCTGTCGCGATAAGTTCTTAATGACAATGGTGCGCCTGTCTGCCTCTCGCTGCTCAAATGCCGCCTTCTCCTCAGCTGTCATTTCCCGCGGGACAGCCTGTGGCGTTGAGAAGAGCAAGGATGCGTGCACACGTGATTGTTTCGTCATGTGTGTGTGTGTGTTTCGTCATGTGTGTATGTGTGTTTTCTGCGTGAGCAGGAAAGAACAGAGACGCACGGCCAGCACGCACAGCCACACAGACGTAGCCAAGCACATACACGTGAGCGAACATGCGATTGGCACAACAGCCCACCTTTTCTTTCTTCTGCTGCTTCTCCTTTTTGTCCTTCTTCCCCTTCTTGTCTTTCTTTGTTGCCTTGGTGTCCTCTGCGTGCACTTGCGAGTGCGCCTGAAGTTCCGGCTCATCGCCCACCTCTTCCTCCTCCTTGATGTCTTCCTCTTCCTTGATGGCAACGACAGATCTGCGTGGAAGCATCGCCTTTTCATCCTCATCCAGCTCATAGTCATCATCGTCATCGTCACCGTCGTCGTCATTGTCGTCTTCGCTCTCTTCCTCCTCTTCCTTGGCCTGTTGGTGCTCTTCCTGTTGTTGAACCTCCTTTGCCATTGGCTCTGCTTCCTCGTACTTCATCTCCTGCATCTCCTGCTCCTGTTTGGGCCGCGGCGCAGGCGCGGGCTGTGTCGAGGGAACAATCCGTGGTGAGTGCAAAAGACGATGACGCGCCTCTCAGCTGTAACACAAGGGAAACACGCAGGAAACAGCGGCAAACACATTCAACACAGAAACCAGGCGTGCGCAGCGGAGACAGGGAAGCTGCGCACTTACGCCTTGAGCGCCTTTGCGGCGGGCAAACTGGACAGACATGGGTCGGCCGTGCAGCTTGTGGCCGTCGAGCTGCTTCTGTGCTTCCATCGCATCCTCGCGCATGCCAAACAACACATACCTACAAGCACGCAAGGAAAAAGCCGGTGTGGGTTGTATGTTGTATGTATCCACAGCGTAACGCCATTCACGCAGGTACAAGCGATTGTGAGTTGGAGCAACTGTAAATTTGGGCGCGTGCACACAGCTTCGCTTCACACTATAATCGTTCCAGAAACACTCCCCACGCACGCGCGCACACACGCACACACGCACACACACACACACGCACACACACACGCACACAGCAAGTGGCGGCTGGTGCTGGTGACCCATCAATATCGTACCCGAATCCACGGCTTCCGCCTTGCGGTGTCTTGACGATGAAACATTGCCGGACGGGCCCAATGTCGCTGAACACATTCTCCAAGTCCTCAGCCGTCACCCTGGCGTTGCGTGGAGCACACATGACATGAAACAAGACGCGCACGTGAGAGCACACAAAGAGAGAGAGAGAGAGAGAGAGAGAGAGAGAGAGAGTGTGTGTGTGTGTGTGTGTGTGTGTGTGTGTGTGTGTGTGTGTGTGTGAGTGAGTGAGTGAGTGAGTGAGTGAGTGAGTGAGTGAGTGAGGGGGGGGGGGGAGAGAGATCACGTCACAAGTGCCAGTCTGGAACGGCACTGCTAGCAAACAGCTGCGGGTGCGCCCACGCACACGCGCCACCTGAGCGAGCAACAGGCGGAGCTCAACAAACACAACCAGCAAACCAGTTGTACATCCAACAGCCAAAGCATCTTTACACTTCTCACACCCTTCTCACGCCCCCTCCCACCAGCGTGCTTCCACGCGCGCCCCTCAGATGCTGATCGCAATCGGGCGCAGCAACGTACGAGAAGGCGAGGTTGCGCACAAAGAGGGTGGCAACGGACATGTCCGTGCCTGATCGCGTGCCCTCTGCAGCGCGCAGCTTCCTCTGCCTGCGGGAAGGCATCGTGGCAGTGTCTGCTGGTGGTCTGTCTGCGGTGTGCTGGTTGGTTTGCTTGTTGGTTTGCTGTGTTGGTTTGCTTGTTGGTTGTCCTCTCTCGTCTTTTTGCTCACCAACCAATGTGTGCACGTGTGTTGTGTTGGTGTGTTGGTTGTTGGTGTTGCCGAATAGAAACTGGATTCAGTCCAATTGCTTGTTTGTAGACGATTTGTTTATGTTTTCATATAACAATCGACTGTGCCGTGTGTGTGTGTGTGCGTGTGTGTGTGTGTGTGTGTGTGTGTGTGTGTGTGTGTGTGTGTGTGTGTGTGTGTGTGTGTGTGTGTGTGTGTGTGTGTGTGTGTGTGTGTGTGTGTGTGTGTGTGTGTGTGTGTGTTCAAGTTCTTCTTCGCAGTTTCCAGGTTCCCCTTGCACATACAATGGCTGACTCGAAGTCTGCCTGCACACACACACGCACATACACACGAAGACACACACACACATCCACATACACAAAGACACACGCCGTAAATTGTCCGGAGAAAACGCGTCGGGAGTGGTTTGGCTGACACGTCAGCGCTTGAGAGAGGATAATTGATTGAAAATATACGTCAACAATCGCTGGGGCCTGCAAAAAAAGCGTGGCACGCCCACCCTCACACCAAGCCCACAAGAGAAGCTGCCAGCACCACAACACACCACCAAAACACACACCCCAAGCAAGCTGGCTGCCAGTGGCTTGGCTATCGCTGTCGCGGGCATTCTCATCGACCCAACATCGCATCCAACACTCCAGCACCGCGTCATGTACAAGCTGCTTCTTGCTTCGGCGGCGCTCCTCGTCGCCACGGCCTCTGCCGAGGTCTTCTTCCAGGAGTCCTTTGGTGGTGAGTGTGTGTGTGTGTGTCCATGTCTGTCTCTGTGTGTGAATGTTCTCGCTGTGCGCTGTGTTTGAGTTTTGCGAACCCCGCACTGCTATGCTCAGTATGGTTGTGTTACATTAGCTTCACCCACACAGATGCATGCACACATGCACGCACACAAACACACACATGCACGCACTCATGCACGCACACATACACACACACACACATGCACTCATATGCAACCCCCCCCCCCTTACACGCTCACTTCTCCTTTCCCAAACACACACACACACATACACACACACACACACACACACACACAAATGCAGATGGCTGGGAGGACCGCTGGGTTGTGTCCAAGCACAGCGACGACTATGGCAAGTGGGACGTGACGGCCGGAAAGTACTACAACGACGCCGAGGAGGACAAGGGCCTTCACACCACGCAGAACGCCAAGTTCTACGCCATCAGCGGCCGCTTTGACGACTTCTCCAACAAGGACAAGGAGCTGTACGTGCAGTTTGTGGTGAAGCACGAGCAGAACATCGACTGCGGTGGCGGCTACGTGAAGCTGTTCCCCGCCAGCCTGGACCAGGAGGACATGCACGGCGAGTCCCCCTACAACGTCATGTTTGGCCCGGACATCTGCGGCCAGGGCACGCGCAAGGTGCACGTCATCCTCAACTACAAGGGCGAGAACGTGCAGACGAAGAAGAGCATCCCCTGCAAGTTTGACGAGGCCAGCCACCTGTACACGCTCGTGCTCAAGCCCGACAACACGTACGAGGTCCGCATCGACGGCGAGAAGGTTGAGGGCGGCAGCATCGAGGAGGACTTTGACATGCTTCCCCCCAAGATGATCAAGGACCCCAGCGTGAGCAAGCCCGAGGACTGGGTCGACGAGAAGGAGATCCCGGACCCCGAGGACGAGAAGCCCGAGGACTGGGACCAGCCCGAGCACATCCCCGACCCGGATGCGGAGAAGCCCGAGGACTGGGATGACGAGATGGACGGCGAGTGGGAGCCCCCCATGATCCCCAACCCAGAGTACAAGGGCGAGTGGAAGCCACGCATGATCCCCAACCCAGAGTACAAGGGCGAGTGGGAGCACCCCATGATCGAGAACCCCGAGTACGAGCCCAACGACTCGCTGTACGCCTACGACAGCTTTGGCGTCCTTGGCTTCGACCTGTGGCAGGTCAAGGCCGGCACCATCTTTGACGACGTTCTCATCACCGACGACAGCTCCGCCGTGGACGCCGCCGTCGAGCACTTCAAGCAGCGCGCCGAGGGCGAGGCTGCCATGAAGAAGGCCGAGGAGGAGGCTGAGGCCGCAAAGAAGGCAGCGGAGGAGGCAGCCGCCAAGGCGCAGGAGGCCGAGGAGGAGGACGACGAGGATGAGGATGAGGAGGAAGATGACGAGGAGGAGGACGAGGACGAGGAGGCCCACGACGAGCTCTAGACGTGTTGCTCATGGACGTGTCTTTGTGTTGTTGTCCAGTTTGTGTTTGCTTGTTTGTTGTCTGGCTGCCTGTTCATGTCTTGGCGATTCGAGGCGTTTTAGGCACTGCTTCGTCATTCCACGTATCCATCTGCAACCCTGTACTCTTTGCTCTCTCTCTCTCTCTCTCTCTCTCTCTCTCTCTCTCTCTCTCTCTCGCATATCCTTCACAGCTACACGCGCTGCGTGTTTTCGTGTTGTCTTTTGTCTGACACCTTATACTCTGTGTCCTTGGTTGTGCCGTGGCCCGCCCATACATGCCCAAGCTTACAATTGCGAAGATAAAACGCGACGCGAAGAAATATGCTGGTGCATGCGGTTCTTTGTTGCTTGTTTTGTAACTGAGGAGAGAGGAGGGTCGCAAGCACACGTACTATCACATTGGTGTGATGCGTGTCAGGCAGGTGGGGTGCTGCTGTGACATGACCTGACGCCCTGACGCTACGCGTGTTGTTTATTGCTGTTGGCTTTGTTGCTGTTTGGCACGATGCGGGCACAAACGCGTGTGCGTGGAAGCAGACACGTGATGAACGGCGGAAGCAAGGGGTGTGTGTGGGGTGGGACAAGGAAGAGCAAAAACAAAAGGGAAAAGGGACGAGATGCATGTGAGTGGGATTGGTTAACACAAGAAGAGAGGTGACGCAGCCGTGGCCAAACAGGCATGCGCGACAGCGATGAACGGATGGGCGAATGCACGACGAACAGTGGCGGTCAACGCGGCCATGTAAAGGAAAGAGGAAGACAGCACACGTGAATACAGCAATCAATTTTAACAACACGGGCATTTGTGCGTTCGCCAATGTAGAACGACAGCGAGGGAGCACCCCACATGGATGCAACAGACCAGGAAAAAAAAAAAAGAGGGTCATTTCAAAGCAACCAATACGCGCCGTGTGTGTTTGCAAATGTGTGTTTGCAAATGTGTGCAGTGGCTTAGAGAGATGTCTGCTCTGTGTGTACAGAGGCAGTTGTTGGGGAGGCAGTTGTTGTGTCTGGGAATGCGTACTCTGGAGGAAGAGCGGAGGACATGAAGGCCTTCACTTTGGGGTAGATGATATTCGTTTCACTGCCGGCAAACCGCTGCACAATGTGTTTCTCCCTGATGTCATCATCACAGGCAGCAGGAGAGATGAATGGTGGGTGGGGTAGCGAACGGACTTGGGGAAGAAGAGGAGGGGGGGGGGTCGAAGGGGAGAGACGGGAAAAGGGAAGCAGATGAAGCAACGCACACATGTACACTCGCACACATGTACGCACGCACACACACACACATACACTGCAGGAGAAATGCACGCATTTGGCACCTGTAGAAGTCGAGGACGGGCTCCGTTTCGCGCGAGTACGTCTCCAGCCGATCTTTCACCGTTTCGGGCTGTTTGTGGACACAACGCGGGTGGTGAGTGATTGATTGGTGGGAGATGACAGTGGGAGATGAAAGAACGGAAGGAAGACAGAGACCTCATCGAGAACATTCATGAACGCGAGGTTGAGATGAAACTTCGTGAACATGCACAAACTCCCAAAAGCGTTGGTGGCGTCATACCTCGTCATCTGGGCGGCGCTGGAGTGGATCGCCCGTCTCGTCGTCGAGGCCCTGTTGGTGATGGATCGAGTAGAGGAGGGGCAGTTAAGACCGAAAGCAAGGGAGCAAAGGGAGTTGCGGACGTAAGCAGAGAAGGCACGGGAGGGCACAGAGCAAACACGCGACTCAATTGCAAGCTGCATGAGCGCACAGTTCTCAGTCAGGGTTAACCAAAGCAGACCCAGGTGCAAACCATGCACAAGCTGTTGCACACGCGTGCGCAGGACGCACGTCGACTTTGGGTGGGTTGAACGAGAGGTTGTAGATGCGGCCAGAGGGCGGGTGGTAGAGGCGCTCGCTTAGCCTCTGCACGATTGCGTCAAAGGGAACGTCAATATGAAGCACGGCTTCCGGCGGTGCAATCTCGTGCAGGGCTTCAGCCTGCGACCGTGTTCGAGGATAACCTGCAAGGAAAAACGCAAGGAAGGGGTGGGGTGAATACATGTGTGTGTGTGTGTTGTGTGTTTGTGTGTGTGTGTGTGTGTGTGTGTGTGTGTGTGTGTGTGTGTGTTTGTGTTTGTGTCTGTGTGTGTGTCTGTGGTGTGTTTGTGTATTTGTGTGTGTTTGGTGTGTTTGTGTATTTGTGTGTGTGTGTGTTTGTGTGTGTGTGTGTGTGTGTCTGTCTGTCTGTCTGCGTATCTCTCCCTGTGTATGTGTGTTTGTGTATGGACAATAGTGTCACGTCAGTGATGAAGCGAGAGGGAAATACAGGGTTGCGTACCATCGAGGATGAGTGGTTTCGAGCAGAGGGTTTGCATTTTCGCGCGAAGCAAGTCCAGAACAACCTTGTCTGGTACAAGCTTGCCACTTTGCACCAAAGCCTCGACCTGTTTTCCACGCTGTGATGGCGTAGTGCACACAAGCGTCAACCGAGTGAACCGAGTGAACAAAGCAAGGCGAGGCCAGGCGCAAGGGTTGCGTGTGTGAGCTTCAACTCTGAAACCAACAGCAAGACCAACAGCAAGTGCCAAACCAACAGCAGGTGTCAAACGACCGCAGGGATAGCATTGCACTGCACCATCAAGAACACACCTCACACCATCAATCCATCAACCACCACAACCCAAGATAATCGCGCTGCACCTCTGTCTTGGCGGCGATTTCTTGGCGGATGAGATCACCTGTGCCAACCACAACCATGCCAAAGTCATCGACAAGGCGATTGCATATCGTTCCTTTGCCACCACCTGGTGGCCCAATGATCACAAACCGAGATGCATGCCTCACACTCCGCCACAGCGCTGCCATCGTAGTCGGTGGGTGGATGATGATGGGAAGAAGGGGGTGATGAGAGGAGGTGCAGGGACTGTGGTGGACGTCTCTTCAGAAGAAGAAATGGAAGAAGTTGCGCTGTCCGTCCTGCCTGCCTGCGTGTTGTGCGTTGTGGGGATTTGCTATTTCATGCTGTCGTGTGCCGTTTGTTTGGGTTTGGCGGGTTGGCTCTTGTTGTGGACCATCTCGTCACTGACCACTGGCATCACTCGCTACTCATCACCGGCATCTCACATCCACTGACACCGCCCCACTGACCAACCGGGATGACGGACAGCGAGGCCAAGACGCGGGGGCGGGAGCCGCTGCCGTTCCAGTCGAGACGTTCTCCAGTAATCAGCATGCGCGGTTGTGCAGCTTCCACACAGCCCATTGCAAGCGCCATTGGAACGCGGTGTGTGTGGATGTGTGGATGTGTGTGTGGATGTGTGTGTGTGTGTGTGTGTGTGTGCGTGTGTGCGTGTGCGTGTGTGTGTGTGTGGATATGTGTGTGTGTGGATATGTGTGTGTGTGGATATGTGTGTGTGTGGATATGTGTGTGTGTGTGTACACCTGTATCTGTGGGTGTGTACACCTGTATCTGTGGGTGTGTACACCTGTACCTGTGGGTGTGTACACCTGTACCTGTGGGTGTTTACACCTGTACCTGTGGGTGTGTACACCTGTACCTGTGCGCGTGGTGCAGCTTACAGATATGGATCGTTTCAGATGGACAGTACCCCATGTTAACACCAATGCATCCCGTTGTCCCTAATCATAATCACATCACACCTGCCTCAGGATCTTGCAGCAAGGTGGCAATGCCGCTGATGCGGCAGTGGCAATGGCCGCAGCCCTCAACGTTACCGAACCATGGTGAGACACACATGCATCACGCTGGACTTCGTTTCCATTGGCCTTGTGTGCTTTCGCCATGTCAACCACATGCACGCTCACTACACGGCCGCCGTGGTGCAGCTCCACCGGCATTGGAGGGGATTGCTTCTGCCTCTATTTCGATGCAACAACGAAGAAAGTCCGCGGACTCAACGGATCTGGACGCTCTGCCGCAGCCACATCCCTCGAGCATGTGCGACAGCTTGGACACACAGGAAGCAAGGTGTGTGTTTGTGGGCAGGGAAAGGGGTTATGGCTGTCTGTGTGTGCCTGTGTCTGTTGTGTGTGTCTGTACCTGTGTGCGTATGTATGTGCCTGTGTGCGTATGTATGTGTGCGTATGTATGTGCCTGTGTGTGTGTGTGTGTGCCTGTGTGTGTGTGTGTGTGTGTCTGTGTCTTTCCGCCCTTTTTCCTGTCCCTCCATCAATCCGCTTGCTGCATTGCTGTCTCACCTCTGCGCTCACCGCACGGTTGCCTGTGTTGTCGTGTTGGCGCAGTTGCCTGCCGATCATGCCCTTTGCGTGACCGTTCCTGGAGCAGCGGCTGGGTGGGTCGACACCGTCGAAGCTTTTGGCACCATGTCTCTACGGCAAGTACTGCAGCCGGCCATCGACCTTGCAGAAGAAGGTGCTGTGGTAGCTTATGCTCGTGCTTGGGTTTGAAAAATGCCATGCTACTCCTCAAACAAGCCTCACACTGGTTTCCACGCCGTCCGAGCAACACGGCCGTCCTTGGTTGCGCACACACACACACACACACACACGCACATACACACACACACGCACATACACACACATACACACACATACACACACGCACACACACACACACACGCACGCATACGCACGCATACGCACGCATACGCACGCATACGCACGCATTGCAGGTGCACCGATCCACCACATTACGGCGCATGCGTGGACGGGCGGTGCAAGGAAACTGCAGCGTGATGACAACCCGCACGGGGGCGCGCTGTTGATGAGCAACAGGGAGGCGCCAAGCGAGGGCGAAGTGATGGTTATGAAAGACCTCGCAAACACATTCAAGTGAGTTGCGCACTGGTGGCGCCTTTGTTGTGATGCTGCACAGCGCACAATAGCTGCCTAGCGTGTGTATGCAAGCCTGTCTGCGCGCGGGGGAGGCGGGAGAAGTGTAGGTGTGGGTGTGAAGGGAGGCATGTATCTTGTCGTCTTGCGTACGTTGCACTGTGAAACATCACTGGCTGTGCTGCGATCCCCAACACAGTGGTCTCAGCAGTCTGCTCGTACTTGCTTTCATCACAACTCGCGCAAACCATACCATGCACACTCGCCTCACCAAACCATACAAACCCAACCTGCCCCCCCCCTTGTCAGGCTGCTTGCTGAGCATGGTAAGGCCGGGTTCTACGAAGGCCGCGTTGCCGAGGCGATT